AGAGCCACTCCTCAGAACACCATCCGTAGTCTACATGACAGAAGACATACATGACTCGCATAATTTCAAATGCATTTAATGGATGTAGTTTATATATAATAGCTTTCCAAAAATTTGCAGCTTTATTTTAAATTACTATAGCAATTTCTTAACGCCATATACTACATTCTTGATTAAAAAATTACCATATTTTTACTTTTGATTAAAATATAGATACTGGTGTGAGCTGTCTCATACATTTCCTCCAAAATGAAGAGTTGGTAATTATTACTGATTATTTTAGACGTACTTAAGTGACAAAACATAACAAGTTCGATAAACACATAATTCGAATCACAAACGACACTGAATCAATGACATATAGTAATCGTCTACAAAATGATTATTTGGTTTTTTAAAACTCATCAACGGCAACAGAATTCTGCAAACAAATTCAGCGTCAAGGTGAGAAATAAAATCTTATATAATTATTTGTACTTTGGTATTAGCCGCTATGCCATATATAACAGCTCCACCAAGGTCCGTAAACAAACAAGGTTAGGCTCTTCTCAACTCCGGTGTCACTTACTTACTATAGTATAAAAAATGAAAGCTTTTAAAGGAAGTACAGATATTAACGACTGCTAATGGAGAAATATTCCTTTATAGGAGTTAATTATTTTATTACGGCCAAGCACAATAAGATTTTTCCTTAAGGTAAGGTTTGCCTTCATGGAGGACTTTCTAAAGAAACCTGACTCGTAGTCATGTTACACACGGAGAACACCAGGCAGCTAGCTCGTTTCCCTGTGTTTGCGTTTGGATTAATATATTGCAATGTAATGGTTTACCATGATTTTGTAAAATAACTGACATTATTTTTCAAAATCATGGCACAATATTGCAATAATGCGACGTAGTGAATTGATTAAGATAAGCTAATTTGACTTGTGATCCTAAATTTCCTAATTTCATAATAAAGAAGCTGTATTTTCTAATTTGGTAATACAGCGACAAAGATACATTAATGTACTGTTTTTAAGAAATAATTAAATTACGGATAATGAAAAGAATAATTTCATTTTAGGATAAATACTTAATCACAAACCAACAAAGCTGTAGAATGGCTTTTAAAGTATGAGAATTCTATATTGGAAAATAAGTAATACATACGAAAATTTTGAAAGATGTTTCGTGAATAAAATCTCATTAGATTATTTCGTAAGAATAATTTAATAAGCAACAGTTTACGTAGCAGACAATAACGTTTTAACTTCAAGGCCGTTATGGAAGTTATATTTACACGTTGTCTTAGATTTTCCAAATCTCTTAGTTTTTTTATTTAATTATGAATTTGCAGAACTCACTTTAAACACTAAATTAAGAAAAACAATACCTTCGTACATAAACCCATTTTTAGAACATATATCTTAAGGCATTGTATGCCGCTGTTAAGAATTTTGCACTCAATTTCGTCCTTACTTGTTTAACACATATAGCAACTCCTTATTTTTATATGAATTTAGCATTAAAAGAATTTACGCTTTAAAATATAATTTGTACTTTCCTACCTTATTTCAAATATGTACAAGTCAAAAACATTTTAATTATTTCTGAGTAAATTTCATTCTAATGGAGCAATTTCTTTTCCCTTAAAATGTAATAGAGCTCTTTTATCAAAATTGTTATCGAATAAGCTATATCTCTTGCGTATGTTTATCAAATATTAATAATTATAAACAAGGTGCAAGATTTTATATTTTATGTCGTTAATAGTTTAAATTAACTTTACAAAGGCTATTCAGTAAAGTTAGGCATAAGGATCAATAAAGTTATTACGGCTCCTATTCTTAGGTAGCATAAACTAACTAGGCATTAACAGATTGTGTAAGGAATTATCCCAAAGTCTTAAGTATGACAAAGTCTAGAGTAAGGGTGTAAAAAACCCTTTTTTGAAATCAATGATGATTCATAGATTGCACCGACCCGACTGGCTTAAATCAAGAGGCTGACAAGTAACTTAATATATAAGAGAAGTAAGTTAGCCTCGCGGCTTTTCAAAGATTAGTCAGGCAGGCTCTGACTCGTAATCGGCATAAACAAGCTTAATGGCAAGAAGCGCTCAATGCCAGAGAAATATAATCACTAGTAAATCAAAGATAGCAACGTGGTCTTCAAGCAGGCAGAACACGCTCTAAATTCATCTTCCCGTAAATACTAACTTCTTTCTACTTCATTGAATACACTCGCGCTAATTCATTTACATTCTGGCAAGAAAGCTGGGCTGAAAGCAATAGGAAAGGTAGCTTCAAAATAAATTAACTGTGTTGAGTAAATTTAACTAAATCCCTACATTTTTCCCTGCCAGAATTTAATACTCAAAAGACGTCCTTAACGATCTCGTTAAAGAACTTAAATTATAACTATCTAAAATTTTCAGACCCAAACTTTTACAATAACGTGAGATTTTAGCGTAATAACAATTTTGTTTACAACATAAAAAGTTTGATTCTCTTCAGAAAGTTAAAACTTTCGAGCAGCTCACATCCTTCCAGAAATTTGGAAGAAAAAGGACTTTAGGAAAATATTCTACAAACATGATATAGTTTTACCGTATGTTATATTATTCTTATTTAAACATTTCATTTAAATTTATCTGCACTTTTATTCCAGACATTTATTCCACAATTTAAGTATCTTTCCCATAGCTCTCCAGAAGAAATAGAGTGTAATAATAATATGCAATATAGTATTATGCATGCAATATAAAATAAAATTTAGTTGGAAAAGCTCTTAGAAGCTTCTGAGAAAAACAGACAGATCCCTCCTCCCTCCCCCAAAATAGAGTTTCTATGTATTTGGGTATCACGCCTTCAATGATTATTATGCAAAAGGAATTTTGAAAGGAAAACAAAAATAAAATAGGTTAACAAGAATTTATATATTCATAATAAAATTTTTATATACGATTTTACTTAATTTTCAATTTAAGATTATTTGAGTTTAATACTATGTTTATTCAGTCTACGTTCATTTTGAGGCTAAAAAGATATTAAACATCCTACTTATGTATACATAAATTTGCTGTCACCAGAGGTGATAAAATTTAACTGATGTTCCTACGGCAGTTATTTATTCTAAAGAATGCTAATTTCTGATTTAAATAGGAATGTATTAGAAGATGAAAGGAATGAATTTTATTTATCCAAACGGTAATCAAGCTTCTTCTCAGTAAGTGCCGTTTATTAGAAATCAGAAATTTCATAACTCATAACTAAATATTTATGCAATTTCAAAAGTAGTAAATGAGTTTTATGTAAAAAAGAAATATTTAGATTAAATTAAGAGTTTTACTTTTGCACTTTAAATTTATGTTGTTCAATATTTATTAATTTATTTAAAATATAACTCAATGTTTCATTCACTATAAAGGAATAATTATTTTTCTTATTATTCAGGAATATGTATCCATCCGATATATATTCACATAAATATTTTCTACAGTGCGCAGTATTTTTTTAAAATAAAAAATGAAGAATTTTCTTCTGTTTAAAATTTTAGCTCATCTTTAATAAGATAACATTGAAGTAGAGAAATGCTTAAGTGGTATTAGAAGTAAAGTGGTAATCACAATATCCCCTTTCTTCATTTGGTAGTAAAAACAAATATATTACTAAAAGAAACTGGACAAAAATTTACTTTTGATTAATGCAACTTAAATTTAACACATTCGATCACAGCAGAAATTTTTAATTTAAGGAATTAAGTAGTATATTTGCTCTCTCCTCTCACAATGAAAGAAAAAAAAAAAAAAAAAAAAAAAAAAAAAGAAGAAAAAAATAGAGTTTTAACTTATTCGAGTATCACACCTTCGAAATTTATTACGCAAAGGAAAATTTTAATGGAAAAGAAAACAATACCTGCCTTTCTTTAATTTTATTTTCAAAATATTTAATTCGATCACTTTTAAAGCAATCTTTTAAGCGTAAAATTTTAGGAATAGTGTAAAGATAAATTTCATTAAATAAAATAATTTCTGTTGTTCGAAATTAAAGTTTCTTGCGAACATGTGAGTTTTCGTCACACAGTGGAGAAACGCTGGCACCTAGGCATACCAAATTTTCATACATTTAGTTCTGTATCCTAACGCGTGTATGTGCCTAAACTTTGAAATCCAGTTTTTTATTTTTTCCTATTTTGTGCTAATTTATCAATTTTTATACTTAAAAAATTCATGAAATCAAGAATTTTTTTTCCCGCACTCAAACAGTTATAAACCTGAACGCCTCTTCCATTTTTTCGACAACAGGAGGTTAAGCTTTGAAATATCAGAATAAAAGTCTAAAAATGGGTTAATGGAAAATTTGTTCTGCAATTACTGTTAAGAAAAAATTCACAAAAAAAAGGTAAGCGGACTGTAATATCATTTGTTTATTTTACATAAACATTTTCAAATAGAAGCAATGCCGTCTACGTGACGACACAGCACTCTTCACTCTAGCAATTAATTAAAAAAGCACTGTAGCAATTAATTAAAAAAGAATAGAATACAAATCACATAAGTTATGAGTTGAAAGTTCGTTACCATAGCAACCAGAATTGAATCATCAGGCAGCAACGCCATCTATTGTTGCAAAGACACACTAGTAATTCGTTTGGTAACAAAAAATACTAAACATAGCCCCCGGCCTTGAAGCCTTCTAAGGGTTCAAAAAAGACAAATAATTAAAGTGCAAAAATAAAGATAAATTTAAAGTGCAAAAGCATACATAATAACGATAACAAAAAATTAATTGAAAATATAACTAAAATTAAAGTTCCATAATATGAAAAAGTCAATAGTTCATAGTTCATATTAGTCATGATTGGGGATAAGACACAATTTAGTAACAGCTCGTTTGAAATCACCAGCGGCTGTATGGATTGTAGCCACTCGAACCTTATCACTACCTGGATGAATTAAGGCAATTCTTCCAATTTTCCATTGGTTTGGAGGCAGTTCGTTTTTGATCAGAAATAAATCACCACATTTTAGATTTGGAGACGCACGAAACTACTTCAGAAAAATGACCTGGAGTCAATGCACTAAAGTCGTTTGGATCACTAGACATCGCACAAAGAGGACGGGAATTCATACACGCTTCCACTTGTGTAAGCACTGTTAAAAATTCCTCGTAAGTTAGAAGTGTGGTTCCTAATACGAGTTTAAGATGAAATTTCATGGATTTCACATTAGATTCCCACAAGCCACCGTAGTGAGGAGATGTCGGAGGATTAAATAACCAAGTTATACCTTCTGAGGTAATGTAGTCACATAATCCACTGCTTTTCTCAATGCGAGCTGCATTTTTTAAAATCTCCTTCAGTTCCTTACTAGCACCTTTGAAGTTAGTAGCACAGTCACTCGAAATTTTAGATGGTTTGCCTCGTCGGGTGATAAATCTTTTTAGAGCTGCTAAAAACGTTGAAGTTGATAGATCACTGACTAACTCCAAGTGTACAGCTTTTGTTGAGAAACACACAAAAATGGATACGTAACACATGAAAGTTTTTGTTCTTCTCCCAAGTTGGGACTTAATAGAATATGGACCAGCATAATCAACAACGGTGACTGCAAAAGGTCACCAGCATAATCAACACCGGTGACTGCAAAAGGTCTTGATGGTTGAACTCTGGGCGAGGGTAAATCACCCATTATCTGGGTCAGTCTTGCCTCGATTTCTAATACAAGGAATACATCTGTGAATAATATTTCTCACTACGCTTCTCACCGAAAGAATCCAAAACTGCATTCGTAAAGAGCTTATTAATAACTCTTGACTAGCATGCAAATAATTGACATGGTAATGAGTTACGATGAGATTAGTGACATGTCCTTCCTTTGGAAGCAAAATAGGAAATTTGCTATTTTCAGGAATGTTTGCATTTTTTAAGCGACCACCTACAAAATTTGAATAGACTGCGCGTTATACTACAATTTACATACTCTGGCATTGCCAATTTAGGGGAAAGTGAAGGCTTGAGGAAAGATAGAGCTCTTGAGGAAAATGTTATTTTGGAAATTTTATAAACCCTACAAGCTGATCGAAGCTCATCGGTTATCAGAAAACCTCTCAAACGATTTTCGGAGAAGTTTCGACAGTTGTAAATAAATCTTAGGCATAATGCAACTATACGACGTAATTTTGTCCAAGATTAATACCGTTTAAAAGTATCATTTTCCTTTACCGCACAAGATACTGAAATGCAAGTTTTTCTTTCTTCTCTACGAACTCCTTCATAATCTACATCAGCAAGATGTTCACTGTCAGGACATGGTTCGAAATCTTGTGAATATAACCAAGTAGGTCCAATGAACCATCGCTCACACTTCAGAAATTCTGCTGGAAACATTCCTCTTGTACCTGAATCAGCTGGGTTGGGCTCCGCTTTCCATTGATATGGTTCCACCTTACATTAGGAATTGTATTCTGTATTTTAGCAACGCGGTTTGCAACAAAGGGAACCCAACGGTATGGTTCTGCAGAAATCCAGGACAGTACAACAGTTGAATCTGTCCAGGCCAAAACTTTACGTATAGGAAACTCTAAATGTTCTAACACTGATTTAAGCAAATTCACTAACAAAACTGCGGCGCATAACTCTAATCGAGGTAATGATTGCACTCTCATAGGGACAACTCTTGTTTTTGATGTTAAGAGTGTTACTTTGATGTCCAAATTACGTGACACTGAACGCAAATAAATTGCTGCACAGTAGCCTTTCTCGGAGGCATCACAAAAAGCACAGATATAAATATAGTTCACGTCAGGAATCAAAACAAATCTCGGTATTTTTAATTGTTGAATAAGATGTAAATCATTTCGGAAAATCTTCCATTTGTTAGCAATCTCATCCCACGATAAATGGAGTTTCCACATGTCTTTTATCAAGATTTTGGCATAAATAATACAAGGAGCAAGCCAACCCAATGGGTCAAATATTTTCGCTAAATCAGAAAGGATATCTCTTTTAGAGTATTTAAAAACTTTTCACCAGAAATGGATACGGAAAAGTTAAAGTAGTCTTCACGGGGGTTCCAATTAATTCCTAAAACTTTGATTGAGCTATCGTCTTGAATTTTCATAGCCTCAGAATCATTTCTCAACTCCTGGGGTATATTCTCTAACACTGACAAGTCATTGGATGACCATTTACGCAGAAGAAATCCTCCACGTTCTAACATTTGCAAGAGTTGATTTACTAGATTTTTGCACTCTTCAGTGTTTTGAGCACCTACCAAACAATCATCTACAAAAAAATTTTGAAGTACAGCCTTCGAAGCTAAAGGATAGTTATTCTGCTCATCGTAGGCAAGTTGGTATAAAGCACGAGTAGCCAAATATGGAGCCGAGGCAGTGCCGTATGTGACAGTATTAAGTCGAAATTCTTGAATAGGATCACTTGGACTGTCCCGCCAAAATATCCTTTGAAAGTTTCTATCCTCTTCATTAACTAGAATTTGTCTAAAACATTTTCATGATATCAGCTGTGACAACTACTGGGTAACATCTGAATTTGACCAAAACTGGAAACAGCTCTTGTTGTATTCTGGGACCTGTCATCAATATGTCGTTAAGAGATAGTCCTGATGAAGACTTACTAGTAGCATTAAATACCACACGTATTTTACTCGTAGAGCTAGATTCCTTAATTACTGCATGATGTGGCATGTAGTATGCCTGACTTGGGGACTCTGAACTACGGACTGGTTCCATGTGCCCGAGATCCAAGTATTCCTTCATGAAATGTTTATACATATCATATGTATCAGGAGATCTTAAGAGATTTCTCTCTAAAGATTTAAATCTTTGTAAAGCAAGATCTTTAGAATTACCCAACCTTGAAGGGTTATCTTTAAATGGAAGTTTCACTACATAACGACCATTTTGATCACGGAAGTGTGTTGTTTTAAAGAACTCTTCACATTTTTTATCTTCACTTGAAATACGTTTGACTTCAGGAATGGAGTCTAAAGACCAAAATCTTTCAACTAATTCGTTTGTATTCAACTGAAGATTATTCACTGTAAAAGTGTTAGTTAGATTCGAATCATCAGTAATAGTGTTCCCGGAAATGATCCAACCCAACTGAGAACAAATTGCAAGGGTAGGGCAATGATTCTCCTCTCTTTATGATGTCTCCCTTAAGCATAGTAAAAAATACATTTACACCTAACAAAATATCTATAGGTTTTCTTTCATAGAACTTAGGATCAGCTAAGACTAGATCGTCAAAATGATTCGCAATTTTAGAAGGAAGCGACACGTTAGGCACATCTGAAGTTATCCTTGGAATCACGAATGCATATGTTCGAAATTTGGAATTTGACTCAAAGTGCGGGGTAAAGATTAATTCCACTTCTCCACTTGTTACAGTGTTGAACGAACCAAGGCACGACACTTCAATTTTTTTTGTTAAATCTACCTAACTTTAGTTTTCTGACACACTCTTCACTTATAAAGCTGGCTTCACTGCCACAGTCTAGTAAAGCCCTGCAAGGGATGGCTTTACCACAGTGTTGCGCAAACTAGGGGTCGCCAGAAGTTTTTTGGGGGTCGCCAAATTTTTATGAAATGCATTTTGCCTGCATGCTGCATACCATACTGAAGCGCCGTTCACTGTTTAATTGCAATTTCAACCTGCATAATGTATGTAAGTGTAGTTTTTCACTCCGTAGATAGTTCGCGGTTAGTTTTAGATGAAACGTCACGAAATATCGAGTCAGAAGTCATAAAACGCATACAAAATTCATCTGTATTTGCTTTACAACTGGACGAGACTACCACCGATATTACTAAAATGTCACAACTAATTATTTACGTTAGGTTTATTTTTAATGAAGATATAACAGAAACGTTTTTATGTTGCAAAAGTTTGGAAGGAAAAACAACTGGAGAAAAAATATTCGAAGTAATAAATGAATATTTTGAAACAAAGTCCCTTACCTGGGCAAACTGTGTTTGCGGTTTGTACTGATGGTGCTGCAGCATTAACAGGTTCGAATAAAGGGCTCAGAGGCTTAATTCAGAAGGTGGCGCCTCATATGGTATTTAATCACTGTATGATTCATCGGCAAGCTCTTGTTGCAAAAGATATGGATGAAGAGTTGCACAACATATTACAAGACGCTGTTAGTTCAATTAACTACATTAAATGCAACAGCCACAACAGCCGTCTCTTTTCAATACTTTGCAATGAGATGGGCTCAACGTATGAGAGATTACTGTTACACACCGAAGTCAGATGGCTTTCACGTGGGAAAATACACGACGGATATTTGATTTGAGAAATGAAGTGTACATGTTTTTAATCGAAAAGAAACATAGATTGGCAAGTTATTATATCAATGAAGTTTGGCTAAGGAAGCTGAGCTATTTAGTTGATATTTTCGAAAAACATATTACAAGACGCTGTTAGTTCAATTAACTACATTAACTGCAACAGCCACAACAGCCGTCTCTTTTCAATACTTTGCAATGAGGATGGGTTCAACGTATGAGAGATTACTGTTACACACCGAAGTCAGATGGCTTTCACGTGGGAAAATACTGCGACGGATATTTGATTTGAGAAATGAAGTGTACATGTTTTTAATCGAAAAGAAACATAGATTGGCAAGTTATTATATCAATGAAGTTTGGCTAAGGAAGCTGAGCTATTTAGTTGATATTTTCGAAAAACTTAACGTAACTACTTAAACTTAAATTGAGCTTGCAGGGTGAGAATTCAACTATCATAACTTCAGCCAGTAAAATTCAAGCTTTTAAGAATAAGCTTAGTCTCTGGCAAACTGAACTGAAAAAACAACACCGACATGTTCCCTTGCTTTAACGATTTTATCAAGGAAAATAATATAGATATATTTACATTTAAAAACATCATTTCCAATCACATTGAAAAGTTAAAGGAAAATTTTTCGAGAAGATTCGAGGATTTTCCTGAAAACGATCTTGGTTGGATTCGTGATCCATTTTCCTTTGACATATGCAGTTCAACTCTTCAAATTAGTGAGAAAGAGCAATTGATAGATCTAATTAGTGATTATACTCTTCGAAATCAATTTAAGACTCAGCCTTGCCAAAAATTTTGGCTATCCGTGGAAAAACAATATCCCGTTTTATGCAAGAATGCCATCAGAGTGTTAATACAATTTGCATCAACGTATTTATGTGAAACTGGATTTAGCAAACTAGTTTCAATAAAAACTAAATACCGCTCGCGTTTAAACCCTGAAGATGATATGCGAATTGCAATTAGCAACATACATCCAAACATCGATGAGATAATTAGAAACTTGCAGCCACATACATCTCATTAAAGGGCAATTTACTGATTTTTGTGTTATACAAAAAGTATTTTCTTAAAATTATAAATAAAATTAATATGAGTCAGATATGATGATGTTTTTATTCGATGAAACGAAAGAAATGCGCGAAATATACATCGTATTTGTGAACATTTATCTCTAGGGGTCGCCAAAAATTTTCTCTCTACAAAAGGGGTCGCAGTCGAAAAAAAGTTTGCGCACCACTGCACTGGAATCACTAAAAAGCAACCAGATACTTTGCTCATAATAACTAAACCTGATTGTGGCAAAACGACTTCATTCTTGGTAAGAACTGACTGGGAGTAGGAGTTGTTTTTTTTCATTTTCACTAGTTTGAAATTTCGATCAAATGAAGAACAGTATGATGAGGTAACTTACACGTCATACATTTATGTAAACTACGAGAGTTTTTCACTAAATGAGGCTGAGAAGATAAACAATTTGAAACAAAGTTTTGTGTTTCTTAACAAATTCGATTCTTTTTTGGACACTTAAGTTTAAAAACTTACCACATTTGTGAAGAGAATGATCTTCCTTGCATATTATACAACTGTTTTTTACTCGACACTAAAGAAGTTAATTTGGAATTAGAAAATTTCCTAAAATCTTTAGATTGGTTTCTACTATTCTGAAGGATTCTAGCGTGGTCTTTTAGAAACTCGAGTAAATTATCTAAAGTACCTAATTCATCTTTTTTCAAAGTTCTTTCCCACCAAAATTTTATGTTTTTATCTAATTTCTCAGTAATTAGATAAAGAAAACGAACATCAGAAAGATCAGAAACTTCTAGCTCAAGAGTTCTCAAAGAGCGTACACATTCATTCACTACATCAACACAATGTAAAATAGCTTGAGCGGAATCAGAAACATTTGGCAAATTAAACATTTTACGAATTACTGCATTAGTTAATTCTCTTTTATTAGAATAACGTTCCTGTAAAAGTTGCAACGCTATATCATAATTAGAATCAGAAATAGGAATTGAGTCAATAATAGACAGAGCCTTTTTTTTTTACAAGGAGCCTTTAAATATTGAAACTTCTGACATTTAGAAATATTCGGATTGTTATCTACACTAGGCTTAAAAAGATCATTGAAACTAATCCACTCATCTATATTTTCCCCTGTAAAGGTAGAAAGTTCTAATTTTGATAATCGAACGTCAGACGAATTTACTTTTGCTACACTACTTGTTTCGATAACAGAGTCACTGGAAAGTTTCTGTAACTTTTTATTTATAGTTATCCATAATTCATCTAAAGTTTCTTGTATTGTTTGTTGTTCCGTAATTAATGTATCACAATCTTTTTCAGGACACAACAAAAATATTTCCTCATAAATAGAACGAAGCTCACTGTTAAAAGCATTTAGTTTCGTTTCGAACAACTTTACCTCTAAAATTTCTGCTTGTTCTAAATTCGAATTTACCACCTGCCTTTAAACGTTGTTATATTGCTTTTTAGAACCTTCTTTTTAGTTAAAACTGGTTTCAAATCAGCCATTATGAATAACAATAAATATTATACTAACAACTCTAGCAAAAGAAGATGAAATATTGGAACGTACTCACCCCAATGTTGAGGTTTCTACGCTACACCATGCCACGGGAATATTCCACAAATCGAAACTGATTTCACCACAGATGCCACACGCATAATCCACAAATCGAATCGAAAGTACACTAAGCTGATTATTAATCCACAAATCGAAAGTGATTTAACTTGCTAATATTTGAATAAATCACATCATATCTAAAGCTCGCTAACTCTTCTCTGCGGTCGCTACGGACCAGGATTGTTATGAATAAGTTCACAAAAAAAAAGGTAAGCGGACTGTAATATCACTTGTTTATTTTAAATTAATTAATTAAAAAAAGAATAGAATACAAATCACATAAGTTATGAGTTGAAAGTTCGTTACCATAGCAACCAGAATTGAATCATCAGACAGCAACGTCATCTATTGTTGCAAAGACACACTAGTAATTCGTTTGGTAACAAAAAATACTAAACAATTACCTTATAAGGAAAATATAATTTTTTATTACGAATATTTTCAGTTTATTTGCGGGAAATTACTAACATTATTTTAGATGCTTTTTTCAGTGCATAAAAGCATCTTATTATACTGGAATTAAACACGAATGATGAAGCATGGAGCAATGCGTTTTTTTACAGATTTATTCAATTACATTTTTATCGTTTTTGGTATGTTATTTTTTTCAATACATATCGAAACATTAATATTGAATACATATCGGCTCAAATATTGAATTTTACGTTTTTTGTCTTTGGTTTTATCGTAGAATTTAATAACAAGGTACACAACAGTTGTATCCTACCGTATTTGACGGCATATAAGACGCACCCTTATTTAGAAGGCCACACACAAGGAAAAAAAGTTTCAATAGTCCGCGCGACACGCGGTAACACAATAACTTAAAATGTGGTTTCTTTTAGTTCTCACGTTTCGTAAAAGCCAAATAAATAATCATGAAATGCAATTACCAAACGTATTTTTATTAACAAACGACAAGCTATTTTGAACATGACACGTAAATTTCAATAATGAATAAATGAATGAACGGCAAGCAATCAAGCATGATACAAAATAAAGCAGAAACAACAAAAAACATAGATTCAAGAAAAACGTTGCCTGTCATGAAATTAGACTTTAATCACTTTCAAAACCATAAAAATCCTTTTCACTATCATCATCAGAGAAAACGAGAATATCGTCATCACTACAGTTTCCGTTATCACTAGTATCACCTTTTTGGAATAATGCGTCGTCTTCTGTTCCGTCAAGATCATTACTGATTCAGCACTTCTTAAAGGACTTAACAATTACTTCAGCCTTTACGTCCTCCCAAGATCTTTTTACTCACTCGCACACTTGTGAAATAGAGGGCCGCTTCATTCTACCTGAGGGTCTGAGGCGTTATGTGGCTCTCCTATCCACTTGTTCCATCGTTCTCGCACTTTTTCTTTAAATGCTTATTCACCGATACATCTAAAGGCTCCAGTTGGCTAGTCAGTCCACCAGGAATTACAGCTACCTGAGTTTTTAATTCTCTCGCTTTATTCTTTATGGTTTCAGTTCTATGATCGCTAAACTGATCCAAAACCAAAAGAGGCTTTTCTTAAGAGCCCACCAGGTCGCCTCCCCCATACGTTCTGTAACCACAGTTTCATTCCAGCTTCGTCCATCCAGCCTTTCGGATGAACATGAACAATTACACCCGTTGGAAGGTTTTCTTTCGGATGACTTTTTCTTTTGAATATGAAAAACAGCGGTAGTTTTTTGCCATCAGCACAACATGTTAGAACTACCGTATATCGGATTTTTTCATGACCTGTGGTTTTTATGGTTATTGATTTAGACCTTTTAATACTCACAGTCTTGTTGGATGGTACATCAAATTTGAGTGGAATTTCATCCATATTTCCTATTTGATTCAGTTCAAAAGAAGTTTTCTTGAGCACATTTATAACAAACCTATGAAATGCTAGTATTTTTTCTTCATAATCGGCTGGCATTTTCTGTGCAATACTTGTTTTTGTGCGCATTGATAAGCCTTGCCTTTTCATGAACCTGTAGCACCAGCCCTTCAGAACCCTGAAAAGTTTCTGATTCCCATGTTTTTTTGCAAAACATTTGGCCTCATTGATTATCATTTTGGTTGAAACACTTATCCCAGATTTCCTCTTATCTATCACCCACATTTTTACGGCATTTTCAAGTTCAGGCCAAGATGGAGATGGGCGTCGAAGGTTATGTTTTTTTTTTTTTTTTAGCAATCTTCAGTTGATCTTCCTGCAGTCGCCAAGTACGTATCATTTTTTTCGATATGTGCTGGACCGAAATGCCTTGCTGCTGCTCTGTTTCCATGCACTTTGGCGTAGTTTAATACTCCTAGTTTATACTGAATTGTATAGCTTAATCTCTTGTTTCCTGTAGTCATATTTTCAAGGGTATTTTTTTTAAAACAAATAGTTTTTTAAGCACCGATACCTACACGTTTATAAAGATTAGCATCGATACCGACACGAGTGTCGGCTGAGTCAAAGAAAGTCTAGGTAAAGAAGGAAAGGCTCCATAGACGTAATGTGACCGTCGAACCTCTTCGAACTTCGACATCAGCTTCGAGCTTTGGCGCTTTTTGCCGACAGATATTTCACGCATGCGCAAAATAATTATGGCAGATGTAGAAAACGTTATTTGTGTCTAAACCTTTATCCTTGAAAAAAATTACATTCAGTATTGAAAGTTAACCTGTGTCCTTCACGTATAAGACGCAGGTAACATTTTTGAGACCAAATTTAGGAAAAAATGTGCGTCTTATATGCCGCCAAATACGGTATGTATCAACAGCTGCCACAACAGCTGTCATCCTATATATCCAGAGTTGTATGTGTACAGCGTTGAAGAATTTTGAGCAGAGATAGAGTACACCTAGACAATAGGAAATCTCGTAGCAATGCATGGTCGGAAACGCTTTCCTGGCGCGGTCGTGACGACACAAAAGTCAAGAAAGAAAGGACACATAGAGGAAGAGAAAACATCTTTATTATTCGGAGTACAACAAAACCAAAGGAAAAACAACATAGAGAGACAATGGTCATCATCAAAGGATGTGTTCGAAATTACGACCCGGACCGTGATGCAGGAAACGCGCGTCATGCATCTTCCATTCGTGATGCAGATCTTCCATGTGAAGATTTGAGGTCTGCATCACGATCCGGGTTGTAATTTCGAACACCTTCTTTAATGACGATCAATGTTTGTTTTTGTTCTTATTTGTAAACATAATAACACATGTTTTGTCTCACTGTTTGTTTCCTTCCTTATTTGCTTTTTGTGTCGTCACTACCGCGCCAAGAAAGCGTTTACAACCATACATTGCTATGTGATTTCCAATCGTCTAGGTGTACTCTGTCTCTCTTGAAAGTTTGCCATTGCTGTACTGATACACTCTGTATATATATTATAGGCATTAAACCTTTTCTTTTCTAAACCTATGTAACGAAACCTGGTTTCTCAAAGAACATGAAAAAAATCAAGAAATAATCTAAAATATTATATCATAAGATATACGATAGGTTGGGATTAATCAAACACAATAAATACCGAAGAATTTCCCCACGAATTCGAAAAACTGGCCCAGCTAAACTAACGATATTCAAGTGCACCCTGGAGTAATGAAAGACAGGTAAATTTCACCGTAAATGAAATGTCATTTAAAAATTCCAGATTATTGTTTAACATGTCGAAGAGTTTACCATTCAAGATCCAAGAAGTAATAAAATATTTGAAGTATTAAATATATTTATACTAGAAATAAAAAGGAACTGTACTCAGATTTTTATTTATAAACTTCAGTTTAACGCCTGAATCAAATTTAATTTGAACATTTACGAATAGCCTTATTTTAAGAATTAATATTTCCCGAACATAAAATTCTACATATAAAATGACCTGTTCACAAGCAATGACAAGTAACAGGAGAAACAATTATAATATTATTGCGTCGTCAATTACTGTAAAGGAAGAGATTTTTGCTCTTTCTTTACATTATTTCGTAAACAAATAAGAGGTTTAAACCAATAAAAAGGTTTGCCTCCAAAGCATTTAGTGACCAAAGCATTTATTATTTCTTTCGTAGCAAATTGAAAGAAATTTTGCATAAGATTGTTCTAAGATGTGGCAAAATATTCCCTAATGTAGAAAATATCATCGAATTTGTGAAAGGGAAAGACACAGTTTCTTGGAAAACTTACTCAATATATTGCAAAAGGCATTAAAACAAAGCGTAGTCCTGTTGCTTATCGCAAACCAGTCATGAAAATCTTTGCAATTGTCGAAGGTAATTAGCTATATCTGAAA